CCCCAAAACCCCAAAACCCCAAAACCCCTTGGCTATTAAATATCCCAAAACAGAGAATCTTGATACAAATATATATAATTTATATATAGGCGTTTATATAAACAAAAACTTAATGAGCAAAGTCAAATTTGACAAGACTAATCCTATGATGCAGGATTTCAGTGACAGCGATTCCGATAACGAGGGCAAGGCAGGAATCGATGATGGAGACCTTAACGAAGCAGAGTAAGAGGCCAATATTTTTAAGTTATCTGCAAATTCTTACAAAGTTTCAGGTGAACTAGGGCAGTACATTTTGCCAGAAGCCATTTTGATTGATAAGACCAAGAAATGGCGCTAAATCAACACTAAAAGATACAGTGACCGCAGAAAATTCGGCTATGTGGAGACTCAGAAGGAACTGCTACCCCCTGAAGTGCTGAGGAAGATCATTAAGGATCATGGTGACATGTCTTCGAAGAGATTCAGACAGGACAAGAGAGTATATCTTGGAGCACTCAAGTACATTCCTCACGCAATCTACAAACTGCTAGAAAATATGCCCATGCCTTGGGAATAGGTCAGGAACGTAAAAACACTTTATCACATCACTGGAGCAATTACTTTCATAAATGAGGTACCTAAGGTCATAGAGCCAGTGTACACTGCGTAATGGGGATCGATGTGGATAATGATGAGAAGAGAGAAGAGGGATAGGCGTCACTTCAAAAGAATGAGATTTCCACCCTTTGACGACGAGGAACCTCCCCTTGACTATGGTGATAACATCTTGAATGTAGAACCACTTGAAGCAATCCAGATGGAGTTAGATGAAGAAGAAGATAACCCAGTATTTGATTGGTTCTATGATCACTAACCACTAAAGTACACTAAAAATGTAAATGGACCTTCATACAGACTATGGCGTCTGACTCTTCCAATGATGGCTAACTTGCATAGACTCTCAAATCAACTGCTTAGTGATTTGCTTGATCATAACTACTTCCACTTGTTTGACAAAAAGAGCTTCTTTACTGCTAAGGCATTAAATATGGCTATCCCAGGTGGTCCTAAATTTGAACCATTATATAGAGATATCTATGAAGAAGATGAAGACTGGAATGAGTTCAACGACATAAATAAGATTATTGTTAGACATCAAATTAGAACTGAGTACAAGATAGCATTCCCTCACCTCTATAACAGTAGACCTCGAAAAGTTGAATTAGCTCCTTATCATTCACCTGCCGTCTGCTTTATCAAGAATGATGATCCAGAACTTCCAGCATTCTATTTCGATGAAGTCATTAATCCAATCTCAGCTTATAAAATGGATAAATTTAAAAATCTTACTGATAACTTCGAAGTAACTGATGAAGACCTAGAAGAATTCGAGATGCCAGAATATGTCTAACCAATTCTTCAAGAATAACCTTTGTACAATGAAAATACAGTAAATGGAATAAATCTCTACTGGGCTCCAGAGCCATTCAACAAAAGAACAGGTAAAACTAGAAGAAACTATGATATCCCACTAGTTTCATCATGGTTTAAAGAGAGATGTCCCCAGGGATATCCTGTCAAGGTCAGAGTGAGCTACTAAAAGCTACTTAAAGTTTGGGTATTGAATTAACTTCATCACCATTAGCCAAAGGCTCAAAACAAAAAGTCATTACTGAAAGCTTTTTAAAAGACTAAGTTTTTCTAGCTAACTGAAATTGATTGGGTTGAAGCAGGTTTACAAGTCATAAGACAAGGATATAACATGCTTAACTTGCTTATTCACAGAAAGAACCTGAACTACTTGCATTTGGATTATAATTTCAACTTGAAGCCAGTTAAAACTTTGACAACAAAGGAGAGAAAGAAGTCGAGATTCGGTAATGCATTCCATTTGATAAGAGAAATTCTAAGATTAACCAAACTTGTTATTGATTCTCATGTGCAATACAGACTTGGAAATATAGAAGCCTTCTAATTAGCTGATGGTCTTTAATATATATTCTCTCATGTTGGATAATTAACAGGAATGTACAGATATAAATATAGACTTATGAGATAAGTAAGAATGACCAAAGATCTTAAACATCTAATCTATTACAGGTTTAATACAGGTCCAGTCGGAAAAGGACCAGGTGTAGGTTTCTGGGCACCAGGCTGGAGAATATGGCTATTCTTCTTAAGAGGAATTATTCCTTTAGTTGAGAGATGGTTAGGAAACTTGCTAGCTAGGCAGTTCGAAGGTAGACATTCAAAGGGTATCGCTAAAACTGTTACCAAGCAAAGAGTAGAATCATAATATGATCTTGAATTAAGAGCTGCTGTCATCATGGATATCAATGATATGATGCCAGAGGGAGTGAAGGCAAACAAAACTAAAACAATCTTATAGCATTTGAGTGAGGCTTGGAGATGCTGGAAAGCTAACATACCTTGGAAGGTGCCTGGACTTCCAGCTCCTCTTGAAAATCTGATTCTTAGATATGTTAAATCTAAAGCTGATTGGTGGACTAATGCTTCATATTATAATAGAGAAAGAATTAGAAGAGGAGCAACAGTTGATAAAACTGTTTGTAAGAAGAATCTAGGTAGATTGACAAGACTTCATTTAAAATCTGAGCAAGAAAGATAACATAACTACTTGAAAGATGGTCCTTATACAACTCCAGAGGAGGCTATTGCTATTTATACTACTTTTGTGCATTGGCTTGAGTCTAGAAAGTTTATCCATATTCCCTTTCCTCCTCTGAATTACAAGAATGATACTAAGCTATTCGTTTTATGTCTTGAGAGACTGAAAGAAGCCTATAGTGTAAAATCAAGATTAAATTAATCTCAAAGAGATGAGCTGAGTTTAATAGAATAGGCTTATGATAATCCACATGAAGCCTTATCTAGAGTTAAAAGACATTTATTATGTCACAGAGCTTTCAAAGAGGTCGGTATCGAATTTATGGATCTCTATTCGCATCTAATCCCAGTTTATGATATAGAACCTATTGAGAAAATTACAGATGCTTACCTAGATCAGTATCTATGGTATGAGGCTGATAAAAGAAATCTTTTCCCTAATTGGATTAAGCCTGCAGATTCTGAACCACCCCCTCTTCTTGTCTATAAATGGTGCTAAGGTATTAACAACTTAACAGACGTTTGGGATGTTTCTGAAAATCAAAATGTAGTGCTATTGCAAACGAAATATGAAAAACTCTATGAAAAAGTAGATTTCACACTTCTGAATAGACTATTAAGACTTATCGTGGATCATAATTTAGCTGATTATATGACCACTAAGAATAATGTAGTTATATCTTTCAAAGATATGTCTCATACAAACTCTTATGGGCTTATTAGAGGACTTTAATTCGCTTCATTTATTACTCAATACTATGCTTTGATACTTGATATAATTATTCTTGGACTATAAAGAGCTTCAGAGCTAGCAGGTCCCCCATCTTAACCAAATGAATTTATGAGTTTCAAGGATGTTGATACTGAGACCAGACATCCTATCAGACTATTCTGCAGATATATCGATAAACTCTACATCATTTTTAGATTTACTGAGAATGACTCAAGAGAATTGATTTAAAGATATTTAACTGAGAATCCTGATCCAAATAACGAGAACATAGTCGGATATAACAATAAAAAATGCTGGCCAAGAGATTGCAGAATGAGATTAATGAAGCATGATGTGAATCTTGGTAGAGCCGTATTCTGGGAGATTAAGAACAAGCTTCCAAGAGCTTTGACTACTATTGAATGGGAAAATAGTTTTGTATCAGTTTATTCAAAGGATAATCCAAATCTTCTTTTTAACATGTGTGGATTTGAAGTCAGAATACTCCCTAAGATTAGGGCAATTTTAGAGGAGTTTTCACAAAAAGATGGCACATGGAAACTTCAAAATGAAAATACCAAGGAAATCACAGCTTAGGCATTTGTGAAGATCGATGAAGAGAGTTTAAAGAAATTCGAAAATAGAGTTAGATAAATCTTAATGGCTAGTGGTTCAACTACATTTACAAAGATCGCTAACAAATGGAATACAACACTTATTGGATTAATGACATACTATAGAGAAGCAACAGTTTAAACTGAGTAGATGCTAGATTTACTAGTGAAATGCGAAAATAAAATACAAACAAGAATCAAGATTGGTCTAAACTCTAAGATGCCAAGTAGATTCCCACCAGTCGTATTCTATACACCAAAAGAACTTGGAGGTCTAGGCATGCTATCTATGGGCCATATTCTGATCCCTTAAAGTGATCTTAGATTCTCTAAATAAACAGATACTGGTATCACTCATTTCAGAGCAGGTATGAGTCATGAGGAAGATTAACTGATTCCAAATCTCTATAGATATATCCAATCATGGGAGTCCGAGTTCATAGACTCTTAAAGAGTTTGGGCTGAATATGCTTTAAAGAGATAAGAAGCAGCAGCTTAAAATAGAAGACTTACCCTAAATGATCTAGAAGACTCATGGGATAGAGGTATTCCTAGAATAAACACTCTTTTCTAAAAAGATAGATTGACGTTAGCTTATGATAAAGGCTGGAGAGTTAGGCAAGACTTTAAGCAGTATTAAGTGCTCAAGTAAAATCCATTTTGGTGGACTCATTAAAAGCATGATGGAAAGCTTTGGAACTTAAATAATTACAGAACAGATATGATTCAGGCCCTAGGAGGAGTTGAAGGAATTCTTGAGCATACCTTATTTAAAGGAACTTATTTCCCAACTTGGGAAGGTCTGTTTTGGGAAAAAGCTTCTGGTTTTGAAGAGTCTATGAAGTACAAAAAGCTTACTCATGCTCAGAGATCAGGTCTTAATCAAATCCCGAATAGAAGATTTACTCTATGGTGGTCACCTACAATTAACAGAGCAAATGTCTATGTAGGTTTCCAAGTCTAGCTTGATCTCACAGGTATATTTATGCATGGTAAAATTCCAACACTCAAAATTTCCCTCATTCAGATTTTCAGAGCTCATTTGTGGCAAAAAATACATGAATCAATTGTGATGGATCTTTGCTAAGTCTTTGATATGGAATTAGATTCACTAGAAATTGAAACAGTACAAAAGGAGACAATTCATCCTAGAAAATCATATAAAATGAACTCATCATGTGCTGATGTTCTACTGTTTGCTGCCTTCAAATGGTAAATATCTAAACCATCCTTGCTTCATGAATAAAAAGATCAATTTGATGGCACTACTACTACAAAATACTGGATTGATGTTCAATTGAGATGGGGTGACTATGATTCTCATGATATTGAGAGATACAGCAGAGCTAAGTTCTTAGACTACACAACAGACAACATGTCAATCTATCCATCTCCAACTGGATGCTTGATTGGTATCGATTTAGCCTACAATCTACATAGTGGTTTTGGTAACTACTTCAATGGTTCAAAGATTTTACTAACACAAGCAATGAATAAAATTATGAAAGCTAATCCAGCATTATATGTCCTTCGTGAAAGAATCAGAAAATGTCTGTAACTGTATTCCTCTGAGCCAACTGAGCCATATCTCAACTCACAGAATTATGGTGAATTATTTTCAAATCAAATCATCTGGTTTGTTGATGATACTAATGTCTATAGAGTAACCATCCATAAAACATTTGAAGGTAACTTGACAACTAAGCCAATCAACGGAGCTATCTTCATCTTCAACCCAAGAACTGGCCAATTATTCTTGAAAATTATTCATACTAGTGTGTGGGCTGGACAGAAACGTCTTGGATAATTGGCTAAGTGGAAAACTGCTGAAGAGGTAGCAGCTCTTATTAGATGCTTACCAGTTGAAGAGCAGCCCAAGCAAATTATTGTTACAAGAAAAGGTATGTTGGACCCACTTGAGGTACATCTATTAGATTTTCCAAATATTGTTATCAAGGGTAGTGAACTATAACTTCCTTTCTAAGCCTGCCTTAAGATAGAAAAATTCGGAGATAGAATTCTCAAAGCCACTGAACCTCAAATGCTTCTATTCAACCTATATGATGACTGGTTAAAGAGTATTCAAAGTTTCACTGCTTTTAGCAGATTGATTCTTATCCTAAGAGCTATGCATATTAATGCTGAGAGAGCTAAGATTGTCTTAAAACCAGACAAAACTACTATTACTCTTCCTCATCACATCTGGCCAAATCTTACTGATGAATAATGGGTTAAGGTTGAAGTTGAACTTAAGAACCTCATTCTAGCTGACTATGCCAAGAAGAATAATGTGAATGTAGCTTCACTGACTTAATCTGAGATAAAAGATATCATCTTAGGTATGGAAGTAGCCCCAGTGAACATCTAAAAACAAGAAATTGAAAGGATCGAGAAGTAGAACAAGGAAGCTTCTTAACTCTAAGCTCAGAATGTAAAGTCAACAAATATTCATGGACAGTCAATGGTAGTTTAAGTACTTAGTGGCTATGAAAGGGAAAAATTCATGTCCAAAACTGACTGGAGAATGAGAGCCATCTCAGCCACTAGTCTTCATTTGAGAACTAATCACATATATGTAAATTCAGAAGATCTCAAGGAGAGTGGATTCACTTACGTACTGCCCAAGAACATCTTGAAGCGATTCATATGCATCAGTGATTTAAGAATTTAAGTTGCAGGATATCTCTACGGTATCACTCCACCAGACAACCCATATGTCAAGGAAATCAGATGTATAGTTTTAGTGCCATAAATTGGTACCTACTAGCATGTAACTCTACCACATCACATACCTGAGCATACTTACTTGAAAGACATGGAGCCACTTGGATGGATACATACTCAACCCTTCGAAACTAATTCCTTATCTGCTTTTGATGCTTCTATTCATACCAGACTACTCGAAGATAATTCTACTTGGGATGCTGAAGCGTCTATTATAATAACTACCAGTTTTACTACAGGGTCTTGTTCATTATCAGTATACAAACTAACTTAAGCAGGAGTAGAATGGGGAAGAAATAACAAAGAAACTTCACCCAACCCACCAGGCTATGGATCCCATCTCTATGAAAAGGTTCAAATGATCCTTTCAGACAAGTTCCTTGGTTTCTTTATGATCCCAGAAGGTGGCATTTGGAACTATAACTTCAATGGTATTAACTTCAGTGAGAACATGAAGTTCCAACTGGTACTTGACAACCCCAAGGATTTCTACAATGAGATTCACAGAACTTCACATTTCCTAGACTTTGCCAAAAACGAAGATGAGATTGAGATTGAGACACCAGACAAGGAAAATCATTTTGAATGATTACTGCTGCTTCACTCACAGCAAATAAGACTAAAGTTATAAAAATTGATAATTAATTCTCAAATTAAACATAATTTCATCAATAACCATCTACTCAAATTGTCACGATTCTAATAAAGAGGGGTTTTGGGGTTTTGGGGTTTTGGGG